ATAAAAGGAACATAAACCAAACTTTTTGTTCGCGATTCTGGTATCAATGCTTTGATGACGTCACTGCGCTTGCGAACCAACGCGCCAGTCACACAACGCGCAAACATTTAGGAACATATTGGAGATGAAAGGCCTTTACGTTTCTATTCTGCTCAGGCCTTAAATTTTCACTAGAGCAGGGTGCGGTAGTTGACAAGAATTATGACAAATGGCGACTGGGGCGGACAATGGAGACCAACCAATTGGGATCTAAAATACTGCGATACGCCATCTGGTGAGAGCCTTGTTGTGGTGGCCATGTTTTTATTTCGTGTTTCTCTAACATATACAAAAGAAAGAGATAAAAAACCAAGATGGTTGTCACAAGAAGGCTCAGGGGTGGGTCAGTTTCGCGTGATTCCTGATCCCAATTATATTGAAGCTGCTATATTAATGAACGAAAAAATTTTAGTTTAAAAATCTCTTGTGAATTCATAATAGTACAAGACACCGGCATTATATTAAGTAATATCTTTGCAAAAGCCGTTCGCGAACGTGAGTTAGAAAAGGATAGAGATATATTTGTGTCCTTTCCTATCTCAGGCCGCTTCCACAATAGCTAAATCGCATTATATGAAGACGATTGGTTGGTTTCTATTGTCCCCACTCGCCATTTGTCATAACTCTCGTCAACTATCGCACCCTAGTATAAAATTTTAGTGACTTTCTTGTTAAAATTAAAAGTTACTATAAAGTGACTAAATTTTTACTAGAGTAGGGTGCGGTAGATGACGAGAATTATTACAAATTGCAAGTAGGGATTTTGGCGAGTGAGGACAATGGAAACCAACCGACATTATATATATAGGACCATTGCCAACTATGTAGACCAAAAAATTTATTTCACTTGTTCCACTATTCCTACAATTTCAGCTTGTGAAATTATACAACATTTTACCTGGGAGGATATAAAAGTTTTGTTTTTTTTATAACAAAGCAAATTTTTGTATATTATTTTAATAATATTAATAAGCTGAAATTGTAGGAATAGTGGAACAAATGAAAAACAATTTGGCCAAAGCACAACTGAGTCGAGTACGCAAGTCGGATACGGGATACGTAAGTTCCCGCAACCGTCTTTAATTGTGCGCGTTAAAAAATGGTTGCGCTAAATATTGGCGGAACCGTTTTTTCAACGCACAATTAAAGACGGTTGCGGGAACTTACACGGGGAAAAGAGAAACGTTGGGTTAATACCGTTTTCCGATTGGTTCAACGTCAGTGGGCCCTGTCACGATTTCGGCATTGATTCAACAGACTTTTACTGTTGAACCTACTGTCCATCTATTGTTACAAGTAAGTTGATCTAACAGACACTGCCTACAGCGCTCCTTGCCGTTGAACCAATCGGAAAACGGTATTAATCCAACGTTTTTCTTTTTCCCGTGTACATATCCCGTATTCGACTTGTGTACCCGACTCAGTTGTACTTAGGCCATTAAAGCTATTCAAAAATATAAAATTCTTTTTTTTCGGAGATTAATACATATAGGAAGTAAAATTTGAGGAGTTCAAATTTTTTAAGTCTGAATTTTTTTACAGTGTATCTGGTTAAAATGTTATTTAATTTTTATAAAACCAGAAATTTTTTTGTAAAATTTTAAGACTAATAAATAGAATTTTGAAAAGTTTAATGTCATTTGTTGGATCCATTACTTAAAATTTTGCAAATTGAATATTAAATTCATAAATAAAAATATATTTAAATAAGGAAATAAAACAATGAATTATACTTATAAAATTATTATGTCTAGAATGCAATTGCGAATAAGAAGAACAGGTAATATATATATGTATAAGTATCAGTTTCTCTTGGACAATAGTACACCTTTCAACCCACTTTCACCCCTTATCGACCAGTTAAGATCTGTATGGATATATAAAAAAATAATAAAAAAAAAGAATGAGAGTGGAAAAAAAAGTGGAGTGAGTGGAAAGCCAAAGTGACACGGTAAAAGCACCACTAATGCTTTTGCGCATTAAAACTAGACTCCTAATAAAGTGTTCCCTGGGGTTAAAAAAAATACTGATCGATGAAGCTACCCGATTGGTCAACTTGCACACTGAAAGGGGTTTGGTCGTTTCTAAATTGAGAATTCGTACTGGTTACCATTTGAGGGTTGTTTCCGCCCCTATGGAATTGAAAATATCCCTGGCTCCACCCCTTATTTTGTGCTCACACATTTACCAGGAAACTTTACCAGTTTCCACTTCTCTTCTATATACCTGCTCTTCTCATAAGTGCCCCTTCTTCCTTATATGTATAGTATGAGCTATCTTTTATTCCTTTTATGTACACATTATGCAAACAAATATTCACATAAACATGCATTCAAAAATCGTGTATATGTCAAAAATTTATGCTGACTAAAATGCATTATTATTATTATTATTATTTGGTAAAATAATTATTCTATATCATTTCCACTATTTTTTAAAAAAATTTAAATTTTTTTTAATAATTATTTTTACAATTATAGGGTAAGTGCATCAATTACGGCGAATTCATAAAAATAACTATTATTATTATTATTATATTTAATATAATTGTTGCAAAATGATTTTAAAAAATTATTTTAATCTTTTTTTTGATACATAAGCCTTTTGGTTGAATAAGTCTTAAATTGGGTGAGTTCTAATCCAGAGATCCCGTTCCGAATAGGTTGCTTATGCTTAAGCTTACTCCTATATCGGACATTTATGTATTTTTCTAAGACTTTATCAATAAATTAAGTACATAGGTTTCCTCTCGAGATTAATAGATCAATAATTAGTTAATTTCGGTTAATCATTAATTGATCTATTCTTCTCGTTAGGTTTTTCCTCCGTTTTAAACGGTAAATTTAATTGTCTTTATTTAAACTTTCCGCTTTCTTAAAGAATTTAACTATAAGATTGAATCCGCGAATCAAAGAGCGAAATTGACGCTTGCGCGTTAAATATGCAATTCAGCTCGTAACAAAATTGGGGCTCGTCCGGGATAATAATAAAATTTATTTAATTCAAGGATGGAAAAAATTTTTTTTCAATACTTTGTACAATAGAAATGTCGAATTTTTTATTTCAAAGGTGTTTTGACTTGAATCGCGCCGTAATAGGTGCATTTTCCCTAATATATTACAAATTTAACAGAACTTATTTTTTAACAAAATATTACTTTACTTATTTGATTTGATCTGTATAATTATTTTGACTGAAACTTTTTTTTCATCAAAAACAATATAAAAAACTGTATTTCAAAAATTTTTAAATTTAGCGCTTTTTTTAATTTCGTTAATTTATTATAAATTGCGCAGTTTCGAGAATTGTTGGAAATTCAGAAAAAAAAATTCCGGATAAATAAAAGCTAAAATATAAATGAAAAAAAATTGAATATAAAACAGAAATTTCGTCATTTAAATTTTAGACAAATGGAAAGTCGTCATATTTAGAAATTTTGTGGAAATAAAAATTAAAATACATAAATGAAAAATTTAAAGAGAACGAAATTTGGACAAAAAATTTTAGAAAAAGGAAAATTTCAAACTATATATACAATGAAATTCTATATGAACTAAAAATTCGAATTTTTAGGGAAATTTAAATAAAACAAAATTTAGACTATATAATTATTAAATTCAGAATAAAATATATAGAAATTCAAATAAAAAAAATTTCTGACCAACAAGAATTATAAAATAAATGAAAATTTAGATAATTAAATTTTAGACAAATAAAATTTCAGTCAAATATAAAAATTCGTATACTTAGAAATTCAAATAAACTAAATTTCAGATAAACGAATAATTATAATAAAAAAATTTTTTAAGAGAAATTAAGAGAAATAAATGTTTGAATAAATAAAAATGTTTAAAAACGAAAATTCGCATTCTTGGAAATTCATATAAACAAAATTTCAGATAAATAAACATTAAAATAAATGAAAATTCGTTCAATTAATATATATTTTGGACAAATTAAATTAAGGCCAATAAATGAAAAAATAAATGAAAATTCTGATAAACGGAAATTCTAATAATTACATTTTGGGAAAATGGAAATTTAAAAAAATATGAAATTTGAGACAAATAAAAAAAATTCAACCAATTATTATGTTTTGTACAAATTAAATTTCGACCAAATAAATGAAAAAATAAATGAAAATTTTATAAAAATTAAATTTTGAGAAATGGAAATTTAAAAAACATATGAAATTTCGAACAAATAAAAATTCGTTTGTTGGAAATTCTGACAAACAAAATTTCGAACAAATATAGAATTGGAATAAAAAAAAAATTTTAAACAAAAATTACAATATTTCTTTAAAATTTAAACGATTACTCGAATTTTGAACAAATAATTTCCAATACTTTGAAATTCAGACAAAAAAAAATTTTGATAAAAAATAAATGAAAATTCTAAAAAACGGCAATTTGAACAAATAAAAATAAAGTCAAAGGGCGATATTAGATTTTATCAAAACCCACTTTATTCATAAATATTTATTTTCCGCATATAAAAGCGCATATAGGATAAAATAAAGTTGTAAATATAAATTCGAATCTTAAAAAGTTTCTAATGAAAATAGCAGCTCTTCATCGAATTAAATGAAAGTTGGAAAAAAGAAAAGTAGACTTGAACTCTGTATAGCGTAAACTGCCTTCTTAAATCGCCCTCTAAGTCTAAAGTACCTCGAGTTTCTCGACAGAGAAATAAAGAAAAATCGTATAGAACGAGGAATAACGGGTCTTGAAAACTCATACTATCCTCAAACACCCCCCCCCCCACCCTTAAAGTCTGAATATGTAAGGGGGTGTAGGCAACCCTCCACGCATCGTTCAGGATGCGCCGACAATACTAGAAGAGAAATTTCCGTAACTTTTCACCGTATAGGAAAATTTCAAATCCCGCCCCAAAGAAGAACCGCCCTCGGCGTCAAGGGTGCTTGAAAACTCAAACTCAACAGAGGTAGGGAACACTAGTTGTCAAGTGTTCGTCGAGGACACTCAAAAACTACAACGTTTGCCCTTCGTCCTTCATAAACGATCTCTTATATTTTCTTCACAAAATCCCCTGTGTTAACAAATATTTTCTATATTTTAGGAAAAAAAAATCAGTTTTAATTAAGTGATTGTATTTTAGTTAAAATATTAAATATTTGGAAAAAAAGTGATTCGAGTGTTGGATTATTAATTATATTCGATATATATATAGTGCTATTACAGTGATTGCGAGGAAAGTGGTTTTTTTTCTTTTGAAGAAAAAAAAGTGCTGTTAGTTGGATATATATAATATGTACTGACAAAAATAATTGATAGGAGGATATTTGTAATAATGGACCTTCTGAAAATGGCGGACAAAAATAAAATAGTGCCATGGTGGTTACCCTATCAACTTAATCATGTTTGGTATAGTCAACAGCTTCTTAAATCAAGGTAATTAATAATTCGAGCTGGAAATTTTCAATAATTTTTCTCACATATATTTTATATGAAGAATTTTTTTAAATTGAACCTTTCTTATGCATCAGAGAAAATTCAAATTATTCTTTAAATTTGAATAAGAATTCATTGTTTGATTAAATTTTTTAAAATTTCTACCAATTTTTAGAGAATTTTCACTAATTCCTTAGTAAACAAAAAAATATTACTAAAACCAAATAGTAATACTATTTTGATTATAAATTTACGTATATAATTATTTAATGAACAATTATTAGGATTAAATAATAATTGAAATTTTAGGATGAAAATAGTTAATAGTAAAGGATTATTAATTGATATTTTATTGATTTATTCTTTCCAAAATTTATACCACAAAATTATTTAAAAATTTAGGGTCGGTATTATTTTGACACAAAATTTTTCATATATGTATTGTACAACCGGTAATAATGTTAGTTTCTACTATTGTTATATTTTTATTTAAAAAAAATAAATTATTTTTATTTATACAAAATAACATTTAAAATTTTAATCCTTGTACAAAACAACATTATCGCCGGTTGTACAATATAATAATTGTTACGAAAAAAACAAATTTGTGTCAAAATAAAATATACTGATACGAAATTTAAAATTAAAAAGTTCTCCACAGTGTAACAATAATAATATCGTACAGAATTACGAAATATTTCTTACACGTGGATCAAGATAGGTCACTTTTCCTTATCTTGTTGCCTTATATCCCTTATCAAAACTTATTTTCTCAACATCTATAATAATTGTTGATCGACACAATTTTTTATTTAAAAAGCACCTTCCGCACGTGAAAGCGTGCATTGAATATAAAAACTTGCTATTTTTAGACTGAGAGAATAATTTTAAATCAGATAATTAATAAGTATAATAAAATTATTATCTTTTTTTAACTAAAAGTGTAAATAATAAAATAAATCGAGAATTATCATACATATATTTTTTTTGCGGTGTCACCCCGTGGTTTTATTTCATGAGACGCACCAATCTTATATAGCTTTTGGAGATTTAAACCCTCCGACATTTTCCTCAATATTTATAGTCATTTCGGTGATTCCGATGCTGGGTTGTGTAGAAATTTTCGATTTTTTTTACTGATTAGTATAAAAGAACCTAATTATTAAATAATAATTATTTGAGTTAATTAAAAGGTATTTATTTTGAATACAGAAATTTTTGGTTAAAATACAGTTTATTTAATTCAAATAAAAATTATTTGGCTTCAGTAAATATTTATTTAATAATAGGCATAAGTAAATGATTATTTAAATCAAATTTTTTTCCAGTGGAATTAATTACTAAATTATTATCTTTATAATAGATTTTTTTTATATATTAAATTATTAATAAATAATAAAAAGATGATATCGTTGACATTTAAATATTTCTTAAAATTATGAGTGTCAGATTTAGTGAATTTTAGTTTTAAATAGTAATTTATTGAATAATTAAAATACTTTCAATTAGTTACAATTCAAAAGCTATAAATCAATTACAATTAAAAAGGAATTGCAAATTTTCTTTTATTATTGATTCTATTAGTAGATTTACTCAACTATTACTTTGAGGTTATGTATTGTTTTTTTAAGTAAAATTCCATGCCAAACAATATATCGTTCGTTCATTTTTGACTAAATGTTTATAGCTATATATCATGACAAAAAATTATTAGACAGTTGTACTCGTTTCCATAAATTAACATATTTATAGAGACGGAGGAAATGTCTTTTTAAAATTAACAAAAAAAACTTTTTCTAAAAAAAGAAATGAAGGCAAATATCGAATATATAATATGAAGAAGAATAAAAAAAAACGTTCTGAAAATTATAACAAAGACGATTTAAATATATATATATGAGAGGCTCTAAACCAAGGAAAAATGGAAAAATCACGTTAATTCTAAGAATCCTTTTTTTTCTTCTCCATAAAATTTAAAGGAGCAAACTGAAAATTCGACGATAATACCTATTTAGCGAAAAATTCTTATGGACTAGTTGATGGGGGATGATGTTATTGAAACGATGGAAAAGAATGGCAACGAAGCGTGTGGCTGTACGTGCCACGATAATGGCACGTTTAGCTTACGGTTTTCAAGGCTTGAAATTTGGTTTTGTCGAAAGTTGTTCAGAATTGGCAGGTTGTTTAGGGACCTCCGGCCAAGGTTGCAAAGCAGGTGAGAGAGAGAGAGAGACTCGAATCGGCTTTTCCAATATACCTATAAAGGACACGCATTTTAATTGTCTTGAAAAAGAATTCTGGTGGCTTCTTGACCAAGTGTCATACCTTTAACAAGTCTCAACTTATTTCACACAAACCATTTCCGGTAAGCGGAAAGAGAGAGAAAAAAGGGAGTGCGAGGGTGAGAGGTATAGTTTCCAAATTGGATTGCAGGTCCTTTCCAACTTTAATCGCATTGTATTCGCTCCGACAAACTTTACGTGAAACGGCTGAAATAATAAACGAAAAGCGAAACTAGATCCAATTACAGGTTCACTTCAAAAAACTTTACCATTTCAAAAACTTTTGTCAAAAAAAAAGAGTTGCTCTTTTTCTTTTCATTTTTTATCTTTTGTTATTTCATATTTTTTAAATATATTAACTATTTTATAGACAATTAAAGTGAAGAAAAATTTATTTGGTTCAAATAATCGGTTATACTTGCGTCTATTATAAAATAAATGAATGAATATAAAGATTATTATAATATAAATAATATTCATTTGGACCAAGTAATAATTTTGGTATTTAAAATAAATATCTTATTATTTAAATCAAATAAATCTTTTTTTTCTGTTACTAAATAAAAAAAAATTAAAAATGATTATATACATATTATATTCGTTTGCTTATCTTAAGGCCTTTATTTTCTTCAAAGCAAATTAAATTTATTTGAAATAAATAAATTTTTATTTGGCTCTAAAGTTGTCTCTAAATCCGAATTAGGTTTAAAAACAATTATAATTATTATAGTAAAACCTTAGCTCACTTTTTGCCTCGCAGCAATTAGTAAAAAATTACTAATTTAAAAAAAAAATTCGATTTAACTAATTTAACTAATTTTTTACTATCAAATTAGTTGTTTAAAAAAATCTAAACTTCTAAAATTGAATTATAAACGCAATATTTATAATTTAGTTTAAACTAGAGGACAATGTGATATTAAATAATTGAATAAAATGTATAAAAACCTTACAAGTGAATATAATTATCAACGAAAATTTAATTTTTTAAACAAATTTATGTTGCAGATTGTTACAAGAAAGTATAAAAATGCCTCCAAGAACTGGATTCCATATTAGTGATATTTTAGGATCAAATGACACGAAACCAGCGCCGGAAGAAACCGATGTACAAAGTAAGTTTAATATATTAAATTAAAAAAATTTTATTTAATTTGAAAATTAAAATCAAAATTAAATTTGAATTATCAATTACTAATAAGAGTAATAATAAATAATAATTACTATTATTAGTAATAATATCAAAAATTAATAATTTATTAAAAAATTTAAATAAATAAATTTAAAATTGTATTTTCAGTATTTTCTTTAAAACAGAATTCATTATTGTTTTCAGATGGAACGACGGTTTTATCATCAGTAAACGAAATACCTTTTGCCTATCAACAACTTTTGGATGCGGCAATGCTTCATCCGTCGGTTCCAGTTCATGGGACCAATTTTAATATAAACAGGGTGTCTGGACCAACGGCTCCTGGAGCTCCTGCTGGAGGTTTATTGGGATGCTGGCATAATCCAGTTGTTCCAAATTTACCTTCATCTTTACCTCAATCAATGGACGAAGTCGGTGGTAAGTCTCGATATTTTTTTTTTATTATTTCTTTTTTATATATTATTTCGAAATTTCTTTATTATACAATTAAAAAAAAAGAAAATTATTTAAATGCCTTAAATTAATTTGTTAGAATTTTTATTTGATAAAATTTCCTTTAAGGCGAATTTTTATTTGTTCGAATCGCACATTTTTTAAAATTTTCTTTTAGCCAAATTTTTATTATAATTTGTACTTTTTTTTATAGAATCTTCATTAAACCAATTTTCTAAACAGAATTAATTTATCAAAATTTCCGACGTAATTTCTGATTATGGTTAATTTTGAAATTCACACCCAAAAGCTTCTGGTATAGTAGTATTATATAATTCGAACAAAGTTCCGTCAAATAAACATTCGAACCTAAAAAGAGGTTTTTAGTAAAAAATACTAAAGTCAAGCTGCGACAAAAATAAAATAAATATCCTAAATCCTGAAATATTTATCAAAAAAAAAGAGTGGGGAAATTTTTTTACGGTAAAACGATTACATTTTTCATCCTAAAAATTCCATTGTAAATATAAGATTATAATAAATTTCATAAGAGAGAGGGCACGGGACAATCAAAATGTAAAAACCGGATGTGACAATGATCATAGTCAAAGTCAAGAGAGTTTGAAAAAAACACAAATTCTTTTTTTTCTGTTTAGATACGCGTTGCCGAATCTCAAACATTCAAACAATCTTCAAATCTTTCCTTCATGGTTTTTTTTTCCTTCTTGAGACATATATATATTTTTTTTCTTTATTCCTCTCACTCCAATATATATATATAAGGTCGCGCGTTAAACTGGTCGCAGGGGATAGGTTTCAAGCAACCCTTATTTATTTAGCACCCTCCAATTGGTCCGTGTCGGCTAAGCAGGATCTAATAGGTCTATAAAAGATCCTCGTGTTCTGATGCGGCGATTGGTTGTGCGCCAAAAGGAACAGATGTCCTCATCTAGTATGTGGGGACAGATGCGTGCCCATGTACTAAGATTCGACCGCAGCTTTTTTTTTCTCTCTCTCATCAATGAATTGAATTTCTGTCACGCCCAGAAGCGTATTGTTACAAATATATAAGGCCACCCATTTTTTTTCTTCCTCTATCTTATTCCTTTTTTATAAAATTTTCCACTTTAAAGAATTAGGGTCTAGCGTGTGCTTGCACTAGACAGATTGTATCGCATCCGGATACCTTTTTATCTTTTTTTTTTTTAAAGAAGAAAACTTCCTAACTTTATTGTATAGGATAAACTGACTTACCTCGAGTTTTAAACAGAATTAGTGTTGCTGGAAACTTCTTAACAAGATTTGAATGGATTGGTTCCTTTTTTTAAATTGGACGTTTCGGCGCGTTTTATTGAAGCTATTTTTCACGCTCTCAATGCACGGGGCTGTATCATTAATTCGAGAATCATTGAAATCTTTTTTCAACATTTCTTACATATATGACAAATTGGTGTATAAAAGTGGAAGATTTTTTTAAATTTTCGTCAACTTTTTATTTTTCTGAAATAAATTTTTATAGTTTGCTATTTAACATTTGTGGTATTCAATGAATCGTTTTTCTTTTTCTATAATTTTCTTTAGTATTTAAACGCTAAAATTGAAATGAATGAAGGAAAGATTCAACTCCACATAATTCAAATTGGTTAAAAATTTTACCAATTCAAATTTATAATTCGAACTTTGGAGATTTATGACGGACTTAAAAAATGTTTCAAGGGTTAAGATATGGTTTTTCTTTAGCGTACTTATCATTTAAAATAAAAAATTATTTTTGTTTTTTGTTGTTGTTGTAAATATAATGCAACAATGAATAGAGTATATATGTGATAACATATATAATGGAATTAGAAATTAGTCGAATCGCTGATTGTTGAGTTAGTTCCTAATTGAAATCACACAGAGTGTGACTGTTGGTCCAAAGTAATCTCCCATGAAAACGATACTTTTGATTCTCCATAAGTCCTTATATATATGGGGTCGTGTAGATATCAAATGGGCTTTATATTAGTTCACACCCTCCTCGAGTTTTAGGGGTCGAGCATCGTTCCCAAATATATTGTACGTTTCAAGAACGAAACCCACGATACATACATCGTCCAACATTTAATGTTTGAAGCTCTCTTTTCATATACATATACATACAGCAACCGTATATATACTTGGTTTTAATCTGCTATTCTGCTGGTTAAATTTTAGGGGAGGGGGTTGTAATTTCACGGCACTGCGTTACGTACGCGTGTGTGATGTTCACTAACCGCTTTTTTCTTCCTCAAACAATATATTCTTCTTCCTTTGTCTGTATAAAGCACAAAATTATAGGTTATTTTATCATGATATGTGACACTCCGCGACAAAAGCTATACCTAATCTCCCAAAATTTTTAGGTTATATTTGGTGATAGCTTTACCTCAAAAAAAAGTTCTATTTTAATTAGGCAAAATTAAAAATAGATTTTCTTGAATATTTTGTAGATGTAATAAAGACTTAAACATCCTGTAGTTTGTATAAATAGTTGATTTATGTATATTTTCACTTTAAAAATCAAAAATATAACCTAAAAATGTTGGGAGCTTAGGTACCTTATTTGTTGCGGAGCGTTAAATATAGTTTTGTCTATACCATAAAGATCATATATCATCATATCAATTTCATTCCAAACTATCATAAACATAACCTGTGTAATTTTTTTGCTTTTTATATGTTTCTTTTCTAAGAAGAGTTTAAAATATGATAAAAAATGTTTGTTTTCTGCGAAAATCGTAATATTTTGTTGAATTATTATAAAATTATTGTAAATTTATAGAAAATTCGAACGGTGACGTCACTCCTAACCTCAAATTTTCTGACAATTTCAAAGTATTTTATAATAATTAATTCAACAAAATATCATTATTAATTATTATAAAATACTTGGAAATTTTCGGAAACTTTGAGGTTAGGAGTGACGTCAGCGTTTAAATTTTCTAGATTTCCAATTACTTTATAATAATTGAACAAAATTTTACAATTTTCGAACACAAGAAAAACATTCCTCATCATATTTTTAAGACTTCTTTATAAAATATCAACTCAATTCATTCAGTATTTTACAAGAAAAATAGTCGAAAAATTAACAATCACGTGACCTTTAACTATAAGAAATTTTTTAAAAGAATTTTCTTTAAATGTTGCGATGATGAAATTATTATCTGACAATAAAAAAATATACTTTTATATATATGTGAGGTTGAAAAATCAATGCATCATCGTTAAATGTTGAACATATATATTTTTTAGAGAAACGAAATGGATTTAAAATATACAATATTAAATATTGATTTGTAGGTATATATACATCTGCCTTTGATCAAATTTAGGTATACAATAATTATATATTTGAAGACTGATGTCGATAATCCTAGGCTTTTTAAAAAGTGCAGCTGCACTCTTTCGTAATCATCATTTAGGGTTACTCATATCGACCACGTCATTGCCAATAGGGTCTTGTTCTAAATCTCTTCTTCCAACACATTTTTCTCTTTTTACTAATTACTTCACGTCACTTAAAAAAGAAAAATGAGTTTTATTCGAGTCAATTCATTCTCTCAATAATAATTATAGTTAATAAAAAGCAAATTCTAAAAATTCAGCTAGAAACAAAATTCCATTTATAATATGAAATTCTATGAAACGAAAATTATAACAAATTAATTTTTTTCTCCGTGAATAATTTTTTTATAATAACAATTGTTTCTATTACAATTCTTTCGATAAAACTTATTTTCTTTTATAGTTTGTCTAAGTAAGTTTTTTTTATGATTACAGCTCTTCAACAACCAGACTCGACAAGTCCAACAATTTCTGATCTCTCCTATCCTAGTCAACGGGAAAATAATAATCTTCCTGAATGCAAAGAAGAAGATGAACTTCAAGAAGAGGAACTTCTTGATGATGACGATGACGACGATGATGACGACGATGAAAGTCGTGAGGAGAAGAAAAAAAATAAAGATTTATTGGACGATTCAAAAATGAAAAGTCCACGTCAACGTCGTTCACAAGAAATGGCTGAGGAGGAAGCTGAGCATAAAAAGAGAAAAAGACGTGTTCTATTTTCAAAAGCACAAACATACGAATTGGAAAGAAGATTTCGACAACAGAGATATCTTAGTGCACCTGAGAGAGAACATTTAGCATCGATTATTCGTCTAACGCCAACGCAAGTGAAAATATGGTTTCAAAATCATAGGTACAAGACGAAAAGAGCAGCAACCGAGAGAGTTGAAGCGGCTGGTAATCGTTTGGATTGTTCACCAAGAAGAGTGGCTGTTCCAGTTTTAGTAAGGGATGGAAAACCATGTCAATCAAAACTTCTTGAACCATGTTCGGCTGCAGCTGCAGTGGCGGCCGCTGCTGCGTCAGCCAATGCTGCAGCAGTTTATGCCACGCCAAATGGTTTGCCAATGCATTCTTATATGCATCGATGGTGGTAGTATAGTTGTTGTTGTTTCAGGATTGTGATAAAAATGTGGAATAAGAAGACAGTATGATTATTTAAATACTAATACCGACCAAATGTTTTCTTATTATTGAGAAACTTAAATTCAATTAATTAGACGCTTCTAAATAATTATTTAGTCGAAACATTTGGAGCGCATGAATTTTCTATAATTTTCTAAGAATTTTATTTAGATACAATTATTTTTTAGCCGAATTATCATTTTTTGAAATTAGTAAGAATTATTCTTTTTAAACCAATTGGAAATTACCCGGAAAATTGTGATTGGTTAATTTTAAAACTCACGCCGAAATCTTTCTGTCGATTATTTTTTCGGACCATTGATTTTTATCGGAAATTCATGCACCCGGATATTTTCAACAACAATTTTTTTTTACTATTTGCAAAATAATTTCCTGCATATGCAAATAACAAAAGTTCAATTTTAAAATATTATTTTACTTCTTATTCCACTTTTCATATAGAAATATCAAATCTTAAAAAATTAGGATTGAAATTTTTTTGTAAAAAAAAGAGAAAAAAGAAAGCGAAGAAAAGTGCTATTTGTTATAAAAAATGTGAAGTTCGCGTCGTGGCGCCCACTGCGAAGAAAAACAAGAGTAATTTGGTGCAAAGAAAAATGTCAGTTTTATCTCTCGATTGAATCGAGATTTATCTGTCGTTTTTTTTCCTTCTTCAATATCCAGTGTGTCCCAGTTAGAAATTTTTTAGGCTCAATATTAAGATCTCATTCTCACGTGTATATACAAAATTATTAATGCTTGCGATGAAAATTAAGTATATAGAAAATAAGGCATAAATAATAAATTATGCCAATATATATATATACATTTAGGTAGCAGAATCTCGTAAGTTTTTTCCACAAAATATTGTTGAGTGTAATTTAAAAATGCGCGTGAATTTTTTTTTCACTCTTTGTATATTATAACATTTTTCAATTAGAATTCAAAGTATAAATATTAATTTTTTAAAAAAAGATTTCATATTAGAGAATTCGATAATTATGATATCGATAAATTGATCTCCGATTGCGAAAATAATTTTCCCATTGATCTCACTAATAAATAAAAAAAGAAAGCAGTCAAAAGAGACAAATTTCTCGAATTGTGAAAAACTTTTCTCATTCGTATAAGAATCAAGTAACATTTTCCATTGGACATTGAACACGAATTCGAAAAAATCGACGCGATGAAAATAAAAATTGACCTAAATTGAATTGCGAAAAATGTACAGGATGTGTTTGTCGAAGAATTTGAGACACCAAAGAAAAAGTAAAGCATATTGCACATTGTGTTCCTTTTGTTGAGCAGAAAGAGCCTTAAAATGTCATGTTTTAGGTTCTGAAAACTATCTTTTATGAGGAAGTTTCGCTCTTGCACTGTATGCGACTTTTATCGAAAATCTTATACTGATGCTGAATTTATACTATATTATATATGTTAGAGTAAAAGATTCTGTTATGTTCGAAAAGAACTTCCTTTTTCAATTTCCAAATTTATTTTACAATGTAAATTTATAGCAAAAAGGACATTGTAAATTCTAATGATGACTCATTCTGAAAATGATAATAATAAAATGAACAAATATTGAAATAGTAAATTTCAACAAAATTCAAATAGTCAAATAATAAAAAAAATAAAATAAATAAAATAGCAAATACAATTTTTTAAAAATTAAAAATACAGTAAAAGTATAAAAAAAATTTAAATTGCTATTTTCTGTATTTCTATTTAATTTGTTCTTTTTATTAAATTATATCATCCTTTTTGATAAAAACTATTTATAAGTTTTGAAATTTTATAAATAAAACTAAATTTATTACTGTAAATAAATATATTTATATATAAATCGAAAAAAATATTATTGCAAGAAAAACAGAATCTTTTTATAATGTATTTGCGTCTACCTAAATATATATGTATTCTATATATTAATTCGAAAAGTGACGTATAAGTACGTCTTTAAATTTTTTTCCATTAGTGATGTCACGCGAGCGATAGAAAAAAAAATCGAAACAAATTGTGTGGGTGTCGACGCTGCGCGATGTTAATATTTTACCTCCGTCATCAATGACGCATCTTTTTCTCACTTTAAAAAAAAAAAACAAAAACATATTTCGTGGATTTCAAAGAAATCCTACACTGTGCAAAAAACCGGAAATAGTTTTAAAAAAATGGTAAATCGTTAATTAAAAATACAAATTTTTAATAATAATTTCACATTGAAATGAAGATACAAAAAAACAGAAAAAAATAAAAAAAATTTAGAAAAAATAAAATAAGTTTTAGGCAGATATTTAAAATGATTAACGATTTACAATTTTGAAAGAGACAAAAGATTTTAAAAAATCATTTTTTTCCGGTAAAACTTAGATTAAATGTATAAGAGAGTATGTATAAGAAAATGAATAAGATCAAAGTGTGTAGTGTTGTTATAGAAAAAAAGCAAAAGTTTTCTTATATCGTGAATTTTAGTTTAATTCGTATTATAAAAATTTGTATATATGTACATTGTGTATAATATTCTATAGTGAACTAATATATCAGACGCATATTTAATAAATCAGATTCATTTGAAAAATTATAAATTTTAGTTTTGATTTTGTTTATTTTCCTTTATATATTCCTCCAAATCCTTTAATAAAATGAAAATTACTGCAAAATACATAATTTAACAAAATATTTGCTGATTTTGAAAAATTGATTTCTCTAGTGTAAATTACAATCTAATATTAAAATCCATCAATTTTTTTATTAATACCTTTTTTAATAAATAATTTTTTCAATTTTTAAAAATTAATTTCTACAAAATTTTGTTTAAAAGTTATTATAATAATAATAAAATAAATTCCAAATACAAAATAATTAGTAAATACGAATAATAATTAAATAATTCAACTTTTTGTTTATCATCTATTTCTATCAGAATCTTCTTTAATCCAAATAAGATGATAATACAGAGTACCCAAAAAAAATATTTAAAAAGAAAATAAAAAACTTTAGAGGTGTATGAAAGAAACGGAATTTCTCGTCTCGTCTCGCATGGCTTCAACGAAAGATTCGCTACCTTCCCTTTTTCATGGAGCACCGGAAGAGTCCGCAGTTTGAGTGACGCGCTTCCGACTTCCGTTTCCGAGCGGCCATGTTGTTACCGGTTTAGATTTCCTGAGGGCATGCACTGGATCGAAAAGTCAGGAAAGTTTTCGAGGAGCCCCATTAAGTTGAGTTGCTAATAAAAATTAATAACACATCTATTTGAGAGATCTTACAAAAAAGTTTATTATCAACGCTTTATTTAGAATGGATTAATTTCAATTAACGCCAAATAAAATCATTTCTTAAAAAAGACAAAAAAATATTAATAAACAAAATTTATTTTTAAAATAAGAATAGTATATACTGAATTTTGAGATAACTTCGAATAATAATATACCACCTAATCCAAGCTTGCATGGTAAGCTTGCCGAAAGATTGTACAGTAAGATTATCGCAAGATTGCTCAGTGAGCTTGCACGGTAAGCTTATCGCAAGGTTGGTGCAAAGTTGCCAAATAACCTTGCCAATCAGCACAGATGGTTGCAGCAAGTTTGCTCGGCAAGCTTGGTGCAAGCTTGCGGAATATAACAAAAAAATTTTGGGCGGAGGAATTTAATTTTGTACATACATTGAGCACCAGTTGCTGGGAGGTCAAAAAATTTACTGCGCAGCCGTAAGTGCTTGTCATTGCAAGTGCGCATAGTGCTCATTTTCAATGCAAACTTCTGTGCTGATTGGACAAGGTTATTGGCAACCTTGCACCAATTTTGTTACAAGCTTACCGTGCAATCTTGCAGTAACCTTACATTGCAATCTTTAGGCAAACTTACCATGCAAGCTTGAGTTAGGTAGGACATTTGAAGCTTGCCGTGCAAGCTTGGCAATAGAATAACCAGAATTCTGGTTAAATTAACTAGAAATTAATGTTAAATATAGCCTAATAAGAATTTTTAAAAATTTTTTTAAGTGTGAGCTGTAATCAAACCCTTAGCAGAATTTTCATTGGACAGAATCTCGATCTATAGCAGAAATTTCGAATAGCAGACCTATTGGACAGAACTTTGATTGGTCAGAATTTTCATCTGACAGAATTATCACATAATGGAAATCTCACCTTATAGAATTCTCATTAGACAGCCACTGAAAAAAAATTCTAGTTAGAATAACCAGAATTCTGGTTATTGTAACTAGAATTCTGCGGTTAGAGTATATTTAACATTGTGATTCTAGTTAGGTTAACCAGAATTCTGGTTATTTTAATAATAATTCTATAGTTAATGCAACTAGAATTCTGGTTAACTTAACTAGAAATTAATTTTAAATATAGCCTAACCAGAATTTTTTTTCAGTGAGAATATATGAATTTTGCAAAACTTTCATTGGACAGATCAAAGTCATTGTTAAAATTTTTAAATATGCTTTTTAACAATGGCTTTGTCCGTGTTCAAATGAAAGTTCTGCAACATTCATATTATGTCAAATGAGAATTCTATCAGGTGAGATTTCTCAATTTCTGTTAAGTAATAATTCTGTTAGATGAAAATTATGATCAATCAAAGTTCTGTCCAATACAAGCTCTACTATTGGAAACTCCTGCTAGACCGATATTTTGTCCAATGAAAATTCTGCTACACTCATAATCTGTTAAATGAAAATTTCGTTAGGTGAGAATTCTACTAAGAAGCATTTCTGTTGGATGAAAATTCTGTCCAACTAAAATGCTTGTTGCCTTATACTTCTGTTTAATAGAAATTCTGTCAAATGCAATTTCTGTTATACATAAATTTCTGTCAATTCGAATTTCTGTAATATGAACGTTTGGAGATTTTAATGCGTCTCATAAAAATTACTAATATAACCTAAAATTTGTTGCCTCGAAAGTTTATTTTCTTGTGGAGCGTCACAAAACTTTTTTTGTCGGTTGATTCAAATATATAGTGGTACGAATATATATAACCAAATATAGTTAAAAGCTTCTTTCTTAGAGAATATAATACACCTTACAGGATAACGAAATTTACAAAACTAAAGTATCTAGCAAATTTTTAACTATAGGACGTTTGAAGAAATAATCTCCCCATAAAAACAAGTTTTGCCATGTACTGCGTCAGATATTGAAGATGAGACATATATTTTTTCTGAAAAGAATATTGAGCATATTATCCCCAGTACACGATAAAGATACATAAACCCATATCATTTTTGTAACGAAATACACACATATATATATATGGGAAGAGAGGAGAAGAGATTAAGGTCCCTTTTGCTTTGAGTCGTTCGCGGATTGGACGATGACATTGCAAAATAAATGGGGTGGACAGCGGCCGGCATATGCTTTCAGAATCTAGTATATATATACAGTACTTATGTACGTCATCAACCCTATATAGAATATTCTACATGGAAACGTGTGAAATGGCTGTGCGACCAACCGGAAGTACTAGATAACATTCAAGCTGATGGTGCTGCTATGATTTATATGACCACCTCTAATCTTGATCTGGACACAGGTCACCAGTCACCTTTGTCAAGTATTGGACCTGAAGTGACTTCTTCATAAATCTACCTATATATATATACTGGTTCTATTGAATTTAATAAAAGAAATAAACAACACCAACTTTTTCAGTTTTTGATAAAACGGTTTGGAAATTGGAGCATAATTGAAAATTAATAAAAACTATACATCTTATATGATTTTGAAAATCGTCTTAATGTATATATGCCCTACCAAAAATTAATTTATTTTAGGGGATTGATAAGAATTACAGAACAAAACCCCAAATAGTAGGGCATTTATTTGATTTAAAATATTAGAGCTCTAGTCAGGGCTCCCCAGTTTTGCTATTTTAAAAAAATGTGAATAAATTAAGATTCAAAATTTTGTTTAAAGGATAAAAATTATCTTCAAAAAAAAAACTTATAATTTTGTAGTTTAGATAAAAAAAAATTAATTTGAGACTAAGACGAGCAATAAGAAAAGGTATATCATTCAGAACACTTTTTCAATCAAAGACCCTTTACAGGAGTGGTTGAATTACTAAATTGCACATTAATGGTTATATAGCTCTGAACCATAATACATATTAAATTATGATTTCCAAGTGGGCGAATTTTTTGGAGAATTAAATTAAATTATTTAAATTTCTTCAAATTGATTCAACCTTTTTTGGGAAATATTTGTTAACTTAACAAATTTTTTACTCTATAACTAATATTTAGAGAAAAATGGCCAGAGTCTTATCAGTATTTTTAGAAAACAAAAAACTTTAATTTATATATTTTCATATATTGTCTATTATAAATAATATCAAATATTTTTGGTAATTAATTTTTATATTAATTCAATAATAATAAAAGAAATTAAAATAATCAAACTATAGTTTACCTATAAATACAAATATACTCTAAAATAGGGAAAACTAGTCAGGGCCTCAATAGGTTTTTTTACTTCTGAATGAAAGTATAAATTTTTTAAAATAATTACCTTATTTTTAATTTTAATTATGCACCCACATACAATTTCTTTTTTTTTGACCTATTTACAGACCATGTTACCACCTATATGTTTTTGGGGTTGTTGAAATAGAATCCAGTCTTTTTCACCCCATCACGTCAAATTTTTGACATAACCTCAAAAATTCTTTAAAGTATCTGAAAAAAAATATTTCTTCCCTGATTACTTTATGTTTTTGGGATCGCAGAAATTAAATTTGAAGTCCATTTTACCCCATTACTTCAAATTTTTTATATAACCTCAAAAATTCTTTACAGTATCTCAAAAAAATTCATCTTTGGGATCAGGGAATTTTTACTTTATATTTTTGTAGTCGCTGAAACCAAATCCGAAGTTCATTTTACTCCATCATGTCAGGTTTTTGACATATAATCACAAAAATTTTTTACAGTAACTCAAAAAAAAAAATTCTTGCCACGGTGTTAATACATGGCATTTTTACTTATTTTTTTAAAGTTATATTAAAAACCTGACATGATGGGGGTAAAACATAGATTTCAAATTCGGTTGAAGTGTTTCAATAGAACTTGGGATCTTCCAACAGTTCAAAATTTCTATACTGCACTGAAAAAAAAATTATATTTGATTCAAGTAATCGGTTACTTGATTATTATTAAATAAATATTTACTTAAACCAAATAATTTTTATTTGAATTAAATGAACTATATTTGAAACAAATACCATTTAATTGACTCAAATATTAATTATTTGATACAAATAAATATTTATTTGATAATAATCAAGTAACCGATTATATTTGAATCAAATAAATTTTTTTCAATGTGATTTTAAAAAAATGATAATTTTTACTAATCCAATTTCATGTAATTATTTCCATTAGTCTAAATTACGTCTCTAATAGAATTTGGCATCTCTCTCGCGCGCGTGGTTAATCGCCTGTATCAATGAGGCCCGATTCACTAGACCAGTGGATTTTTATCCACCGACGAAATGTGGAATCCTATCAATCGAAAAAAAACCGAAGGGTCAGTAAATCGCGGAGTTTCGATCAATAGGACA